ACACACACACACACACAGCATGCACACACACACACACACACACACACACAGCATTCATGCACACACACACATACACACATGCAAGTCCGTACTTTGCGAGGCTGAGATGCGATGGCACGTGGTCCAGGTCAACAAACGGGTGCTTGAAAAAGTCGGAGAAGGTGATCCGCTTGTCTGGATTTCGTTGCAGGAGTTTCTGTCACAGCACATGTTCGACATGAGACAAGGGACGCGGGTGGTTGGTTCAGTGAGTGAAGGGGGTGGAGTAGTGCTGTTGGGGTTTTGGGGAAGCAGCAAAACATTTGCAGGCACACACACACACACGCGTGCAGAAAAAGACAACAGAGAGAGAGAGAGAAGCAACACACACACACACACACACACAGGCAACACACACACAGACACACACAAACACAAACACAAACACAAACACAAACACACACACACATGTACGACGCACGAGCACAAGGTCGCGGCAGTCCGAGGAGACAGACGGCTGGGGTGGAAGCTTGATGCTTGACTTTGACGTGATCTTCTTGATAAGCTCCAGGTATGTCTCCGAGTGGAATGGCGCACGGCCAAACAGCACCTCGTGTAAGATGACACCAACAGACCACAGGTCCGCACGTGCGTCGTACTTCTTGTCGCACAACATCTCCGGCGCCAGATACAGCGGACTCCCACGCAGCGACTCGTGGAAGCTGTCTTCTCCAATCCGACACGCAAACCCAAAATCGGCCAACTGTTGGTCGAGGCGAGGCGAATGGTGTGCAATTGTGTGCGTGCATCACAATGAGTCAACACGTGTGAACGTGCGCTGGTGTGTGTGTGTGTGTGTGCGTGTGTATGTATGTGTGTGTGTATGTATGTATGTGTGTGTGTGTGTGGTGAAGGCGCGGTTCGCAAGCTGCATGACTGGAGTGGCCATCGGATTCAGCGTTGCGTTCATCCAAGTGTGGGGCGGTAATTTGTGTGTGTGTGTGTATGTGTGTGTGTATGTGTGTGTGTATGTGCGTGTATGTGTGTGTGTGAACGTACCTTGAGGAATTGACGCGTTCCACGCAGGTAGATGAGCAAGTTGGACGGCTTCAGGTCAAGATGTGCAATTTGGCGATCGTGAAGATACTGCAAGGCAGTAGCGCGGTGTGAATCAACCATGGCGGAGAGGGAGCGTGCATGCGGTGAGCGTGATGAAGGAAGGAAGAAACACGAGACAAGGTTGTGGATGTGTGCGGAACGGCAACCACGATGGGTGATGTGCGCACGGTGTTGGAGCTACCTCAAGGGCGCTGGCCAGCTGACCCAGGAAGAACCGCGCCTCACCCTCCGCAAGCCTGTGTTTCTGCTTCAATATCTGCGACAGGTCGCCTTCAGAGCAAAACTCCATCACAATGTACAGGAAGTTTGGGTCCGCCTGGATTGGAAGGTTGGGCACACACACGGTCGTGGAAAAAGAGAGAGGGGAGCGTGGTTGTCACAGCACGCTGACAGTCGGCAAAGGGTGGGTGGACAACGCGACAGAGGGACAGGAGGGGGACAAAGTAGGTGCCCGGTCAGAACCACTTTGACATGACATGAAGCTCCGTGTGACTTTGGAAAACGGACCGCATAGCGAAGCATTTGCACGATGTTGGGGTGTCGAAGTCCTTGCAGCAGCTGACATTCCATCATCACGTTCTCTTCGGCCTTCTTGTTAAGGCGATCGCGCGAAACGCATTTGACAGCCACGGGTGGCGCTTCTGGGGTGCGCTCTGAGTGAGCCCGAAACACAACCCCATATGTGCCAGCTCCAAGCCGCTCATCGAACACAAACTCCTCGAACCGCTGTAACAAAGCCATCCTGTGTGTGTGTGTATGTGTATGCATGTGTGTGTGTGTTTGTGTGTGTGTGTGTGAGTGTGTCTATGTTTGTGTTGGTGGATGTGTGTGTTTATGTTTGTGTTAGTGGGTCTGTGTATGTGTATGTGTATGCGTGTGTGTGTGTGTGTGTGTATGTGAGTGTGTGTGTGTGTGCATCACCAACACAGGTGTACTTTGTCCGCACCAACAGTTCAGCGAACCTTGTGTACCGTCGCTTGCGCCCGCTCGACCGGGTTGTTGAGCTGCGAATCCTCGTATCCCTGTGTCCCCGCGCCCTTTGGTCCTTGGGCACTCGAGCTTGGTTTGTTGCGAGACACGGCTGCCCACGTTCTGGCATTCACTTGCTCCTCGTCGAAGCGTCCGTACTGCTGCTCCTCTGCACTGGTGCCTTGGTGTTGGGTCGGTTGTGGGAGTGATAGGGAGTGCGTGACTTGCGTTGCGTGAGTCAGTATGTCTTGCGTGAGTCAGTGTGGGTGGTCCTCAGCGCAAGAGAGGGTGCTCCTGTGGTGGGATGGCAAGTTGATGACGCACCACACTCGCCACAGGATGGGGATGGCCAGGCAATGGAGGGAAGGGGCGCCAAGTGAGGCTGTGGAGACCTTGTGTGCGTGTGTGTGTGTGTGTGTGTGTGTGTGTGTGTGTGTGTGTGTCCTGTGTGCCCGAGGCAAAAGACCTGGACACTCGGGCAAGGCACTAGTGCAGGGCAGGTTTGGTGTTGTCTGCACTTCTCTTTTTGTGTGCCTGTTGTGGTTGCTTGCTTGTGTGCCTGTTGTGGTGTGTCATCAACAACCAAGTGTGCCTTTGGATTGTATGAGCAATTTTCTCCGTTCTCCACAACAAATTGAAGCTCCATTGGCGCAGTTGGTTAGCGCGTGAGTCTAATAAACTCAAGGTCATCAGTTCGAGCCTGGTATGGAGCAACCATTGTTTATATTTTTGTTTTCTTTTGCTGGGCTTGTTGTGGTTTTCTGTCCTTGCTTCTTGCTCGCTTCTTGTTTGCTTGCAGGCTTGCCTTGAGACCCAACGCTCTCTTCTTGCCAGCAGGAGAAACAAGAAACAGTCCTTGCCCTTGTTCACTCCACTCTACCAGTCTGCTTGCAGCTTTGAGCTCTCCTGATTGCAAACACTACAAGCACTGGCACACACACGCGCGCGCGCACGCACACACAATCCCGCGCCGTCTTGCTTTGGTCAAAACCCAACAGTGTACTTCCTCCGTCAAACACAAGCACACACACATCGGCGCCCCCAGCACACAGAAAGCAAACAAACCCAAATGGGCGTGGGACAACCGCGGGTGAGACGCATGCTCAATTAGCGTCAGGCAAGGGCGATTATACAGTAGCAAGGTAGAGAGAGAGGGAGAAGAAGGACGAGATGAAAAATGAGCAACCCGCAGACTGCGCTGCGGGTTCTCTTGGGGTGAGAGGGAGGTCAACACACTCAGGCAGGAGACTGGGAAGAGACTGCTTGAGGGGATTGGGATGAGAGGGAATAAGCATAGAGATGATACATCTATACATTGAGCGGAAACAAGAAAGGAGGGAGGCAAGGGAGAAAGGGAAGAGAGAGAAGAGAGTACGGTCTGGTGCTTCAGTACAGATACTGTCATCACATGAACGACAGCAAGATACAACCACAAACAGCCCAGAATAGAGGCGAGAACGGCGACGAGCGAGCCTGTCATTAACCAGATGGATACGTTTGGGGGGAGGGGGTGGAAGGCAGTGACGGTGTGAGAAAGTGAGGTCAGGGTGTGATGGGGTGCACT